GATGCCTCGGTTCGTTGCTCCCCTCCCCCCCCCCCCCCCCCCCCCCCTTCCCCTCCCTGACATTGCCTCTATGGGCACCATGTACTCGATTAACACGACTGTGTGCATGGGAATGCTGCCTGACCGTGAGCCCAGCGATGAGCTCAGTTGGGGGGGGGGGGGGGGGGGTTGGGCGGGACGCGTCAGGCATCTGGCACACTCATCGCCAGCTTTGGCATGACGGATAACCGACCCCTTCTGTACCACGAGACGCAGAGTGAGGCACTGTGTGCGGTCCATTGTCTCAATGCTGTTGTCCAGGTATGTTCCATGGTGGCAGAGGGGCGCGCGGGCATGGGTGGGCGTGGGCGCGGGCACAGAAAGGAGGGGAGAACTCACCGGCCATTGGGAGGCATGGGCATGGGCATGGGCATGGGCATGGGCATGGGCATGGGCATGGGCATGGGCATGGGCATGGGCATGGGCATGGGCATGGGCATGGGCATGGGCATGGTGGGCAACGTGGTGTTGGCGGACATGACGGGCGACGGGCGGGCGTCGGGCGGGTGACGGTGGGCGGACATGGTGGACGATTCGGCGCGCGCGGACGATCACTTTGCCACACCAACAGGCACCCATGTTTACCGAGGTCGATCTGGCCAACGCGGCGCAGGCACTTGAGGCGCAGGAGCGCGAGCTGCGGGCGGCAGCAGGGCTCGACTCGAAAGAGTTTCTAGAGTACGTGGCGTCGGGCGAGTCGGCGTACGTGGCCGACGACGGCAACTTTTCCATTGTGGTTATGAATCGGGCACTGGAGGCTGTCGGGCTCGAGGCTGTAGCTGTCGAGCACCCTTCGATGGTGGCATCGGTGGCGGCTGACCCGTCGGCCTTTGACGCCTACATTCTCAACTCGGGCGCGCACTGGATCGCGCTGCGCAAGCTGTACGGGACATGGTACAACCTCGACTCTCTGGAGGATTTGCCGACGGTAGTGACCGACTTTTACCTCGCTGCTTTTCTCTCGTCGATGCGTGGCGCTGGCTACACCGCGTTTGTGGTCCAGGGCACGTTTATGACTCCGCGCCAGTTCCAGCCCGACTTTGACCTCGAGGGCGCCGACGCATCGCCACACTACAAGTTTCCGCGGGCGGCTGGGCGACCGCCGCGGCGGCGGACCGGGCGGCGCGGTGATGGCGGCGGCGGTGACGGCGGCGGTGGCGACGACGAGGAGTCGTACCAGCTCGCGCTCGCGCTGGCCATGTCAATGCAGGCAGCCAGCGATGCAGTGCAGGGGGCGGGGGGGGCAGGGACGGGCTAGGTAGGATAGTCCTTGGGTTCATTCGGGGTTAGCCTCGGCGAGCCACTTGAGCCAGGCGGCGGCCTCGGCCTTGCACTCCTCGTATCCGGGAGTGGAGCGCGAGTCGCTGGCCCAGGCCTCAAAGGCCTCCTCCTTGATGACATCGTTGTCGTAGTAGGTGTGGAAGAGGTACGGCAGCAGCTCGGGCGGGAAGGCTCCGTCGGCAGCAGAGGCCAGGTCCCAGACGTAGGCCTGCAGCTCAAAGACGCACTCGGCCTGGGCCTCGAGCGAGGCGTTGACAACGACAACGAGGATCGAGGCGTACTTGGCCACGAGCTCGGTGACAGTAGTCTTGAGCTCCGAGTCGGCAAAGCCGTTGGCGAGCGGTGCCATCTTGGCGATAAACTCCAGGTTGGCCGCAAGGGCCGCGCGAGCAAACTCGGGCGACTCGCGGAGCTCGACAGGGAGTTCAGCAATGAGCGTGAGGACGTCGTCGATCGAGGTGCCGCCGACAAAGGCGGCATAGAGGACAGGCTGCATCTTCTTGGCCTTGACGCGGTGCACCTCATGCTCGGGCTTGAACAGGCCGTCGAGTCCGGCGCGCGACATCCAGTCAGCAAGGCCGGAAACGTCGGCCATCCGCCCGGGCAGCACTTCCATGAGGTCGATGGACGACGCCCGCCAGGTGGCGACGACCGAGGCCACATTGCCGCCGCGAGCGTCCTTGAGCGCGCTCACAAACGAGCTGACGACGCGGTGCGAAGACATCCCAAACGGCTCCAGGGCCTCCGGGGTGAGCACATCGTCGAGCGCCAGGTTGTGCGCGTCGATGAGGAGTGCCGCCGATGCCGCGGCGTACTTGGGCGCGTGCGGTGCGTCAATCGAGAGATCCGGCAGGGCCTCCATAACCATGGCGAGCAGCGCCTGCACGTCAGCCGCCGAGCTCAGCAGCTCGGTCGCCTCGAGAATGTGCGCGAGGAGCTCCTGCGCCGCGGCCACATCGTCGGCCTTGGACTCGTACATGGCGAGCAGGCCGCCCGCGATGGCGACCCATGCCGGCGCGGTCTCGACCTCCTCGATGCACTGCACAGCCTCGGCGGTGTCCTTGGCGGACGTGTACTCCTTGAACAGCGACTTGCCGGCCTTGTGTGCCTCGGCAATGTCCTCCTCGGTCAGCGACTCGGCACCCGAAGCGCTCGCGTCGGCCGAGCCGCTCGCGTCGGCCGAGCCGCTCGCGTCAGCCGAGCCCGAGCCACTCTGGGTGTCCTCCGAGCTCGAGCTCGAGCTCGACGAGCCGGCCTCGAGAAGAGCAAACAGGTTCTGGCCGACCGACGTCGACTTCTTGGTCCCCGAGCTCGACTTTGGCTTGTCGTCCGACGACGACTTCCAGCCGCGGGCGCCCGAGGCGAGCGACGAGCCGCCGCGCGACGGGCCGAGCGTCAGATGGTCCTCCGAGGTCGCCGACGGGCGCTTGGCCGTGCCCTGGTTGACCGTCGACCAACCGTCGCTGTTCGACGCCTTAGCCTTCTTCGACTTGCGGGCGTTAAACTGCTCCGGCCGCTCGTAGTTGTTGCGGCTGACAGCAAAGCGGTCGGTCGCCGCCGGGCGCTGGTACCGGCCACGGTCGCGGTCGCGGTCGCCACGGTCGCGGTCGCCGCGCCCGCCCCGCTCGCGCCGCCCGCCCCGCTCGCGCCGTCCGCCCCGCTTACGGTCGCGCTTGTCGTTGCGCGCAGCCTCGGCGGCCGCAGCGCGCTCCTCGGCGGCCTTCTCGGCGTGAATCTCGGCAATGGTCTTCGGGCCCTTCTTCTTGCGGGCGTTGCGGAACTCCCACCCATTCTTGCGCGCCGCAATGATGTCCTGCAGGTGGAACCGGATCCGCGACGGGACCTTGTCCGACGTCGAGAGCGCGGTCATCCGCTGGAAGTACGCCTTCATGTACTGCGCAGCCTGCGGGACGTCGAGCATCTTGCCGACCGTCTCCATCAGCTCGCAGAGCGACTCGAGCTCCTCCTCGTCCGGGTTCTCCGGATCCTTGAGCAGCGTGAGCACGCAGTCGTGCATGATCCGCGCCGAAATCATCCGCTGCTTGAACAGCTCGCCGATAAACTTGATGTTGCCCAGCCGGCGGAGCTTGAGAATGTGGTTCTTCTCGCGGATTTCCTCCTCGGTCATGCCCTCCTTCTCCTCCTCCGACAGCTCCGTTGGCCGCTCAAACTTCTCCTGGCACTGGTTGAGCAGCAGCCGCCGGAACGACACGTCCTCCTCCTCGCCCTCGTCGTTGGTCTCGGTAAACGTCTCCACGTTTTCCTGGAGGAATACACAGAGCGCCGCGTACATCGACGCAAACGGTCGCTCGTCGATGGCCTTGTCAAAGATGAGCCCGATGAGCTCGCGGAGAATGGCCGGCGAGGAAATGCCGACCTCGACCAGCTTCTTCGACAGCCGGTCGAACTTCTCCAGCGTCAGCTTGTTGAGAATGCCCTTGGCCGCCTTGATCACCCGCGCGGTCTCGTCGAGGTCTGCCTGCGACGCAGTCGCAGGCTTCCACCGCGACTCGGACAGCTCCAGCGGCTTGACGTCCGCCGGGTCGATCGTCGGCCGGCCCTTGCCACCGCCGTTGTACCCGCCGCGCCGACCACGGCCCTTGCGCGACCCACGCTTGCGCCCGCGTCCGCCGCCCTGGTAGTCGTTCTTCCGCGAGTTGCGGTTCGACCGCCGGCCGCGGTTGTTCGCCTTGCCGCGGCTCCGCTGCTGCCGCGGCTCAGCACGCTCCATCTCCTCGTAATGCTCCTTGAACTTGCGGAACACGTCCGAGTCCGGCGGTGCAGTCAGATCCTTGAAATGCATCAGCTGCTCGCGCGTGTACCGCTTGATCTTGCCGGGCTCAACCTCGTGCGGCACTGCACGCCGTGCAGCGGCCCGTGCCTCGGCCTCAGCCGCAGCCGCAGCCTCAGCCGCAGCCTCGGCCGCAGCCTTGGCCGCCGCAGCCCGCGCCTCGGCCTCGGCTGCAGCCGCCGTCGCCTCGGCCGACGAGCCAGCCTCATCCGCGTCGGCAGCCGGCTTGTCCTCGGTCTCGGCGGCGTCCGGCTTGTCCTCGGCCTCGGCCTCGGTCTTGGTCTCGGCCTTGGTCTCGGCCTCGGCCTCGGACGCGTTCGGCTTGGGCTCGGCCTTAGTCTCGGCCTCGGCCTCGGACGCGTTCGGCTTGTCAGCACCATCAGCAGCAGCCTCAGTCTTGGCATCAGCCACCGCCTCGGTAGTAGCCTCGGTCTTGGCATCGGCAGCAGCCTTGGCCTCGGCCTCGGCAGCAGCCTTGGCCTCGGCAGCAGCCTTAGCCTTCTTGCCGGCCAGCTCGTTAATGTCGACCTCCTTACCCTGAGGGGTAGAGACGACAATCTTCGAGGCAGCCTTATACTCAAAGATCGACGCAGCAGGGTTGAGCCCGGAGCGCTTGGCAGCGGCCGGCGCAGGAGCACCGGGGCTCGAGTGCTGCGTGTAGGCCGCCGGCGGCGCACCAGCGTACTGCGGGAAGCCCTGATACGACGGGTACGGCTGGTAGCCCTGGTACGGAGCATATCCGTACTGCATGGGGTACATCTGCTGCGGCATGCCCTGGCCTTGGCCCATCGCACCAGGATGGCCCTGCTGGCCCTTTTGGCCCTGCCCGCCAGCCTGCCCGCCAGCAGCGCTGGCACCACCGGCACCAGCCTCGGCGTCCGAACCCAGCGACGGCGGTGCCGTCTTGGTCCTGGGGAACGGCTCCGCCGAGGACTCGCCGAACTGGCGAGGAACTGGTTGTTTCACTCTAAGCACACATTCGAGCGGTTCGGCTCTCCGTGAGTCTGCTCTGGCTCTCCCACCGGTCTCTTCGCCGTCCCTGGGCGAGGGCCGCCGCCAGCCGACCTGCAGGCTCTTGCCGGAGGCATCCCAAAAAAATGGGGGCGTCACCAGACAGGCGGCGGTAGGGCGAACAAGGGCGGGGAATGTGATATAAAGTAGCCAAGAAGGTAGACCAAGGTGTAACAACTCGCTACATCCAACTGGTGTTCTCGTGGCTACGTTATTCCGTCTGTACATGGCATGGCTATCTCCAAAGACTCCCTCCCCTTGCGGATGGGTTCCTCCATCAAACTCTGCTCGCCGGATGGGAAGGCAGCGGGTCAAGGGGGGCACCTCCGCCGCACCCTTCCTGGCCTGCCATGGGCTCAGGAGGTAACCATGACCAGTGCTACTTGGTTGTCTACATCAAGAACATCTGATACGTACTCATTGTCATTTCCGGACATGCCCTCCTCGAATGGGCGAGCGGTGCAAGGCCGTGGCTCCTCCTTCTCTCGCCGCTCCAACTCGTCATCGTCGACCATGTCGCACGAGCCGCGCTCGTCTGCTCAGGCGAAGCAACCAATTCCAGTCCCGGCAAGGTGCGGCGTGCCACGGCGAGCCACATCATCACCTCCAGTCTTTGATCTGAGAGTGCGTTGAGGCCGGCGGGTAGTCGGCGTGGAGGCGTAAGGGGAGAGGGAGAGGATGTGGTGGATGCGATGATGTGTATCTTCGACCACGTCGGCTGGATGCCAACCCCAAGACGCCGAGTGGCTGGCTGCACTTGGTGGAAGCGCTGCCGTGGCCGCTGGGCCTGGCCGGTCTTAGCACTTGGGTGACGGGGAAAGCGATGGAGGGTTTACACGATGATGCATTTGCGTGGTGGAGGGGGCGACGGCTGCGAGGCGATGGCAGTTTCGATCGCAAAGTGGATGAGCCCCGGGACGGTGGTGAGGGCGGGATATGCGTGTGTGCGCTGGGCACTCGAGGCGATGTGCGACTTGGCGGCGATCTCAACAAAGGCGACCGCGGCGATAGAGTCTGCAAGGGCCTGGCCATCCTGGAATGTCACGGATCGCTCAGAGTCGGAGGTATCGGCCTGGAGGCCAACAAGGATCCGAGGCACGCCTTCGGGCCGTGGTGGTCGATCTCGGGGACAAACTTGGCAGCGATGCGATCGAATGATGCACGCGAGGCCACCGAGTAGCAGAGAAGGAACACATCAGTATCGACGTAGCCGAGCGGGCGTAAGCTGTCGTACTTGTCGCCACCGGGCGTGTCAAAGAGCGCGAGTATGATCGGCCGAGGCTCTGTGCCTGACTCGGGCGACTCGTGGACGACTTCGATGCACCAGTCCTGGATAGGAGCCACAAAGTCGTGTGGGAACGCGTCGTCGCCGTAGGTGGTGAAGAGCGAGGTCTTTCCCACGCCATCGTCACCGACGGCCACAACCTTGACCCTCTGCATTACCGCGGGCCTGTCAGTCGGGTGAGCTGCCACTCCGCAGCTACACATTCAATGGTTGCCAATCGTAGGGGCAACTAAGCGTTGTCCCTACTGATCGGCTGCGATTAGCCTGGACGGGCTTGACTCGGGACCAAATACTGCTTGGGTTTACATGATGGTTGCCAATCGTAGGGGCAACTAAGCGTTGTCCCAACTGATCGGCTGCGATTAGCCTGGACGGGCTTGACTCGGGACCAAATACTGCTTGGGTTTACATGATCAAGCACTTGTGCTTGGATCGCGGCGTGCCTGATGTCGAGCTACAGTTCTCGAGCGCTGTCTTGATGGCGAGCTGAAAGACGGCCGGAACAGTTGTGCGGAGATCCGAGTCGGTCTCGGAATCAGTGCCGAGGTGGAGGAGTGACGAGACTTCGACAAAGGCAGCGGCGCCGATGGCATCGGCAAGCTCTTGGCCGTCCTTGTATGTGACTGTCCGATCGTCTTCGGGTATGTCGGCCTTGAGCGCGACGAGGATCCTGGGAGCATCGCCGCAGTGGTGGGTGATCTCGGGAGCGAACCGGGAGGCGACGTGCTCAAACGATGTCCGTGACGCCACAGAGTAGCAGACGAGAAAGACATCTGTATACGGATACGAGAGCGGACGCAGGCGATCGTAGTCCTCGCAGCCTGTTGTGTCCCACATCGAGAGCGAGACAGGCGTCGAGCCGAACATCACATTTGTCCCGCCATAGTTGTCCATCACCAACGGCGTGTAGCCCGTGTTGCCCGTGTACCTGTTCTGCGTGTACGTGAGGAGCAGATTGGTCTTCCCCACCCCATCGTCTCCCACCACCACAAGCTTGATATTCTGCATGATGAGGCGATGGCAGATTCTGGGAGAGCTTACCCATCAGATCAACGACTACGCCGAACCGCCCCGTTTTGAGCTCTCTCCCCTTGCGCCCAAACGGGGGACGGCGGGGGGGGGCACCATCGACCGACCGACCGACCGACCGACCAACCGACCGACCAACCGACCGACCGACCGACCGACCGATCGGTGACGGCCACGGCCGCGACGACGGCCTCAACCACTTGCCTCATCTCCTTGCCTATGGTACGAACGACTCCTGCCTCCTCACCACCCCAAACTCTCCCCATTCCCCCCAAACTACCTCTTCTATACCAAGGTGTGCTTATTTTCTCTCCATCTACCATGTTCCGTCCCTCATGCGCTTGGACATGCGGCGCAACCTGCGCGTGACTTGGTTCGACTCGGTGGTGATCGCCCTCCCTGCCCCCCTTCCCCCCCCTCCCTCCCTCCTCCCCTCGACCCTACCGCCACACTCACTCCCTTGGTACACTATACGTATGCTCTATCTCTGTGACACTCGCCTATGTGGCTGCTGTGGCTCTATGCGGTGCTGGTGGCGGCGGCATGCGGGGTTTGGACCGGTCCTGGTCGTCGTCGTCTCCCGGTCGACGTGGGCATGACCATGATGGCGATGGTGATGGCGATGGTGATGACCGACTTGGTCCGCTTGGTGTGGTGACTGTCGTTGTCGTTGGTATGATGGTTCTGGTGGTGACGAATGGATGGAGGCAGTCGACCCGCCGTAGACGCAACCAGATCGGTTCGCAGGATGAGGCTGGCAGCACGAGCGGAACCAAGTGCAAGTGGCCCATCTGCGGCTACGGATGCTCGGCCTGCTGCTCGGTTATCTCGGCCTGGGGTCTGGTCATGCTCGCTGTCCTGGGCTTCTTGTTCTCTGGCAACGATAACCTCGTCGACCCGGAGGGCGAGATGAACAAGTCCGACAAGGAGAAGACAGGCACCGCCTGCTACATCGCTGCAGGCATGTACCTTGCCACCTTTATCTTCTCGGTCTGGCAGTTCAAGCTCAATACATCAAAGTAAAACCCGCGTGCCGCACCCGTTGCCCCTGCCCCTGCCCCCGCACCACTTGACTCATGGCCATCGACCTCGCGCGGTACGGGCGGTGGGAGCGGATCTGCCGACTGGAGAGTGGCGACGCATCCGAGGTGTGTAGCAGCTCGGGCGAGACCGTGCTCCACATCGCCGTCACCTCTGCACATCCGCCATCGCGGAAGCAGTTCCGCACACTGCTGCGACTCTGTGCTCAGGTGATAGACGCCAAAGCGGGGTCGAGCAGCCTGACGCCTGCGGCCGCCCTCTGTCTCGCTGCGGGCAAGGACTCGCCGCATGCCGCCGGCATGCTCGCCGAGCTGGTAGTGGCGGGTGCGTCGGTGACGGCTCGCTCACGCGGTGGCGAGACGCTGCTCCATTGCGCTGCGGCGTGCAATGCCTTCCTCCTTCTGCGACTGCTGGTCTGCTCGGCGACGGTGCCCGAGGGACGCAAGCTGTTGAACGCCAAGGACGGTGCCGGGCGGACGCCACTGGCGGTTGCTGCCGCTGCGGGGCATCGCGAGGCGCTCGACGTGCTCATCGTCGCAAAGGCGGATCTGGACGCAGTCGATGCCCGCGGCCGCACCCGCTGCACCTCGCCACCGCTGCTGTCTTCCCCATCTCGGTCTCCAAGCTTGTTGCCGCCGGTGCGCGGCTGCGGATCCAGGACGAGGTCGGCGAAAGCGCGCTGGATGTGGCGGTCCGGCTGGCACAGGCTGAGGCTCGCGCGGGCGTCGGCTCCGGTGAGGCCACGCTGCTGGCAACGTACCTCGAGCGCATCGCTGGCGTCCCGGTTGGGCTGCGCGACCCGGACGTGGCGCTCGACGACGGCATGGTCTCGCTGGAGGCCGCCGGCAAGGTGGCGGCAGGACTTGGCTTTACCCTCACTGCCGTCGTCGCGGCACTGATGGCGCTCGGCGGCCCGTGGGTACTCGTGATTGTCCCGCTTGGTCTCGGCATGATGAACTTTGTCAAGTCAAACCGCAACGTCATTAGCCACCCGCGATGGGTCCCGGCCATTTGCTGCGGCCTCATTTCTAGCACTGTGGCTTTTGTATCTACCTGGGCGGGCTACGCAAGCACGTCCGAGTGGCTGATGTGGAGCTGCGGCGCGATGGCGGTCCTCATCTCGTTCCTCCATCTGGTCACCTCGCCGTCAGGCGTGTACCTCGCACCACGGTTCCGCACGCCGCATCCTGGCTTCCCGTTCTCGACGACCAAGCTCTCGCTAGTGAGTCCTGCGCTCGACGAGATGCCGGGCGAGATCCGCGGTGCGGCACAGCCGATCGACATGTACGCGTGGGCGCCTCCGACGCTGGTTGCCGGCTACTGCCAGACGTGCGACGCCGTCCGGCCGCTGCGGGCCAAGCACTGTGCGCGGTGCCGCGGATGTGTGCCGGCCATGGACCACCACTGCGATGCGACGGGAACGTGCGTGGGTGCCGGCAACCACGGCCCGTTCTATGTCTTTCTCCTCTTGACTACCGCATACACTCTCGCGGCGCTTGTCCATCTCGTGCCTCGGACTCGGCTCGGCGCGGTGGCGTGGTGGGCGACGGTCCGATCGGGCACCCTGGTCAGCAGCAGCTTGGACAACGTGTCGTGGGTCGAGCTTAGCTGGCCGATGTGGAACTCGCTTGTCCTTGTCTTTGGTTTTGTCTTTGCTGGCGCCATCTGGTTTTCCCAGACCTGGTTCATCTCGCGCAACGAGCTATTCAACGAGGTCCGCAACGGCGCCAAGTATCGGTACTTGCGCAACAGTGATGGTCAAAAGTTTAATCCATTCGACGAGGGTGTGGCCGGCAACTGGTGGGCCTTTGTCTCGGGCGCCGACCGCAGCTTCCCGGCGACGCTCAAGTGGCGGCTGAAGGCGCAGGCCATGGCCAGCGGCGAGCGGCAGCGTGGACTCCATGCTGTCTAATGGCCGGCGTCAGAGCGCTGTCGCTGGATCGATCGGGCGCGCAAGCGGAATGCCCGAGGTGGCATCAAGGAGAGCGGCAATGGCGTCGCGCTCGTCGCCCGTCACCGGAGTCATGGGCGCAAACGGGAGGCCGGCTGTACCTGCGCCGGCGATGTCGACTGCGGCCTTGAGGCCCGGAATGCCATAGGCACCAAGCTTGTTGTTGGCGGTGGCAAGCGCAGCCTGTTCGCGAACAATGGCCTGCATGCGGTCGGCGGAAGCGCCGTGCTCGAGAACGGCCGACGTGGCGGCGGTGAGTGCTTCGACCCGCGCAGCGCAGACGTTGGCGAGGCCGGTGATCGAGCCTGCAGCGCCAGCCATGAGCGCTGGGACCAGAATCGACGGCGAGCCTGTGATGACCGCAAAGTCATCGGCGTTGGCCGTCGCCGCCACCAGCTGCTGGAGCCGGACAACCGAGCCGATCGAGTCCTTGATGCCAACCACGTTGGCATGGCTAGCGAGCTTGCTGACCATGCTGGGCGTGAGATCGACGCCGACAGTGAGCTGAGGAATGTTGTACAGAACAACCGGGAGCGGTGCCGAGTCGGCAACTTCGAGGTAGTAGGCGAGCAGATCGCTCTTGCTTGTCATCGGCCCGTAGTAGTGCGGCGGGACGACCATAAGGGCGGCAAAGCCAGCGGCGGCAGCCACCTCGCCCAGCTCGCGGGACTCATCCGGACAGTTGCCGCCGGTTCCTGCGGTGAGAAGGAGCGGCGAAGCTGAAGGATCATCGGCTCGCCGGCGCCGCTCTACATCGCCCACCACCTCGAGCACCGTCGCCTTTGCATCAAACGCCAGCGAGGACCACTCGCCCGACGAGCCGAGTGCCACCAGGCCCGTCACGCCCGACGCCGCCTGCCTGCGAACGTTATCCTCGAGCGCCGCGAGGTCGAGCGAGCCAACAGAGCCCGAGCATGCGCTTGTGGTCGCCACTCTCGGCGTGACAAGCGCAGTGAGTGTGAGTCGCCCTGTCCGGAGCAGGTTCATCCTACCGTAGCGTCTTGTCCGTTAGACAGGTGGTCTCCGGCATGAGCCAGTGATGACGAGCAGCGTACTTCTCACGACAGGTCGAGGAGATCGAGGTACATGACGCTGTTGCACTGATCACGCTGACGGTCCCAGGGTATATCCGCCAAAGGCAACAAGCAAGTTGTCGATGAGGGGGGTTGGGGGGGGAGGGGACGGCAACTGCACGCGGGGGGAGGGGGAGGGGGGGAGCACGATAGGGCACGCGATCGTACTCCCTTACACACGGCATATGTCATGATGACTGTCGTGGGTATAATGTAGAGATGATGGATGGGTGGAATGGAAAGCTTGAATCTATGTCTTGCCCATTGATGTGGCTAGCGGGGCATGAGCAGAGAGGGGAGGGGAGGGGGGAGGGGAGGGGGGGAGAGGCGTGAGTCGCCTGCGTGGTGCAAGGCAACGGGGACGAGGACGGGAGCTGTTACCTGACTACCTCAACCAGTACACACTCGGGTGGTCATGTCATCGTACTCTGAGGAAGAGGGTGCTGTGGATGATGTGCTTGTGGTGCATGGTATGTGGGTCGGTGGGTCGGTGGGGGTGGGGGTGGGGGTGGAAGGGACGGCAACGGTCGAGGTGGACGGGGGGGA